TCCCTACCCATAGGCCCCATAGCCGTTCCTGTTGGGGATTACCTCATAGGATTCAACATTTTCACATATGAACCCCAAAAAGGAACTACTATGGGGCCTATGGGTAGAAACCCTAAACCCTATAAACCCCGCCGTGGGAACTACCTGAACCCTAAACCCCAAACCCTAAACCCTAAACCAGGAGGTGGTCGCCTCCTCCTGTGCGTTTGCGGCGCTGCTCTCCAACGGAACGGTGCTGACTTGGGGCGACCCCGATACTCGGAGGATCAAGGGACATGGTACGTCAGCTCCTAAGTTATGTTAAAAGTAGGAAATCCCCCCGTATGGTGCAGGAAAAACCCTACAGTCTGAAGCTTCAATCGGACCGTGGAGCCTTAGTAGCCTTCTGACTGTGACGAGACTCTGTTTCAAGGCTGAGGATTTAGGGCCTGAGGGTTTTGGGTTTAGGGTTTCAGGTTTTAGGGGTTTGGGGTTTAGGGTTGAGGGTTCAAGTGTAAGGTTTAGAGCAACTGAGCAAGCTTAGAGCCTACAGCCGTCAGATCCGCAAAACCTTGAAGTGTCTAAGCATCCTCACGAGGACTCAGAGATCCCAATGGCTGTTAACTAAGGAAGATACCTCAAAGCATAAGATGCAGGTATTCAGGCCCCTATAAAGACATCCCAATAGCCTTTAATTAAGGAATATACCTCGAAGCATAAGACATCAGATTAAGGCGCCTATAATTTAGGGGTCTCTTCTCTAACTAAGGGATATTGGGATCTCTGAGGACCAGGGTGGCAACAGCAAGCTGGTGCAGCACCAGTTGATCCACGGCCGCACTGTAAACGGTGAGGGTTAGGGCGGTTCAAAGCTCAAGGCTTAGGCCTTAGGGATTAGGGTTTGAGGGTTTAGGGGTTCATTCTGCTTTAGGGGTTTAAACATCGAGCATGGCTCCTCAGTCTGCTGCAAGCCCTGGCATGGCGATTTTAGGGCTTATTCAAGTGAGCTGGCCGACACTAACCCTTTTTTTAAAGTCATGTACGGGGCGGTGCGTGTGCAAAATGAGTCGTGGGAAAACACATCCAATTGCCAGGCTTAGTGTGCAAATGTGTCCCCTAACTAAATCTAGGACATTTTCAGGTGGGTAGTTATATAGGAGCCTTATAGAATCTATAGAAGGTCTATATACCTATGGAAGCCTTATAGAAGCCCTATATACCCTATACTCCCCACCTGTACTTTCCTTTAACTAAAGCCCTAATAAACTCCAATTTAGGCCTAGCATCATAATCTCTGAAAAAACAACCCGGAATCCCACGTCTGCCCTAAATACCTGAAGCCTGAACCTCAACTTCAGAAATTGGAAGACTGCTAAACCCTAGGCCCTAAACCCCTAAGCCTTATAAACCCTAAACCTTAAACTCTTAAACACCTAGGCCTTAAACCCTTTAAACTCTTAAACCTCTAAACCTTAACCCCAAACCCTAAACCCGGAACCCTAAACGAAACCCTAAACCCCTCACCAATGACCCTAAACCCCTAAACCCCTGAACCTTAAACCTTAAACCCTAATCCTTGAACCCGAATTCCCAAACCTTGCCCTCACCCCCTAAGCCTTGAACCCTAAACCCTAAACCCCCAAAACCAAGGACTAACATTCAACCCTAAACCCTAAAACCCTAAACCCCCTCACCAAGGACCAACATTCAAAAACCCTTAAACTCTTAAACCCATAAACCTTCAACCCTAAAACCCTTAAACCCTCAACCCTAAACCCTAACCCCTAAACCCTAAACCAAGGACCAACATTCAACAAGTGGAGGCCTCTTGCTCGGCCTTCGCCGCCATACGCGGAGATGGCCATGTGGTGACCTGGGGGAATCCGACGGTTGGAGGCGGTGGAGTCGTCGTTTAAGGCTTAGGGGTTTAGGGTTCTATGAGGTTTGGGGTTTAGGGTTTAGGGTGTATGGTTCCAGAGGGCTTAATCAAAGATTGCAATGTAGACCTGTTTAGTTTGTAGATCCCCTGCATCAATACGGATACACTTTGAGATCCCAATATCAAGGCCTACAAGGAAAGGGGGTTGATGAATCAAGGGTCTGCGTGAGGTTTTTGATTTTTCGGCTTACTTAGGCAGTTTGGGAGCTCAGAACTCACGGGGTGCTGGCCCTCAGCTAGAGCGTAGGATCCTGTGGCTCCAACGAATAGCTCAGAGCAGTGTTTAGCGACGACTTTGTCTAGCCTTTAGACCTCGACATAGATACCGTTTGCATACTTGGAGTTTTACAGGATGTAAAGGACTGGTGGGTTGCATTCGGGACTGATGATGCCTACGGATGTTTAAAGCTTTTGGAAGAGTTTGGGGAGCTAGGGTCTCTGTTTGGGAACTTGGAGGATCATGGGACTTAGTAAGTAAGGTTATAAGTCCCTTAATTGGGGTTATAAGTATAGTTACCTTAGTTATAACCCTACTTACTAAGTCCTATGATCCTTTAAGAAGGCTTGAGATTCTGGAGTAGGGGTTGAGGGTCGGTGGATACAGGCTAATAGGGCCTACAACTGACGCGGAAAACCGATAAACTCTTCACTAGGTCCGACACCCACAATGTTATATCTCAGTGTGCTAGCCTCCAATATGGTAACCAATTCTTCCAAGCCGGGTGCTCTGAGCGCGGAAGTCTTTCATTGGAGGGAGTTGTTTGAAAAATGGGTCTCTTAGACCCTCGCACAAAAGTCGGTTGGGGGTTTAGTGAAGTGAATCGTTAATATTTGGGCCATAACCCTAAACCCTAAACCCTATGTGTGTTTTTCGAGGCCTAGATTTTCGCAAGCTCCCAAATCAGTTTTCTTTAAATGCGCACAGCACGATGAGGAGGTGTACATAATGGGGATATCTTCATCTTCCGTGACAGTCGACCAAAGGGGCGAAGTGAGATGTGTCAAGTTGAATCACAATGAGCTGTTTATTGGTGTTTATGTGTACATACCAGTTCTCCTTTACATTATACATAAACATACTTCCACAAATACAGACATCCATAGTCATAGCTTGTTTATTGGCTGGCCTCTCTCAGAGCTCCCAGACCGGGAAAGACCAAGAGACAGCCAAAACTATACTGCAACATAGAGTCTACACGATCGTTGTGTTATGGTTTTGTACGGCTTTGGGAATAAGCAGCGATGCCATTCTCCTATAGCCGCATGAGAGCTCCAACAGAAATATAGTATAATATCACCTTATAGTCGCCATGTAACTATAGCGTAGTACTCCCTTCCGGTCCCAGTAGCGCTGCGCGATGAAGTACTGCAAGACCTTGTACTTGTGACGAAGCCCTTTTGCAGACTGCTCACGGCTTGGGTTTCACTCAATCCCACAGATCCCGAATTTTCTGGGTTCTTGTTAAGGGATTTAATTTAAGTTACCATAATCAGGAAACCATATTAGTTTCTGTAGATCCCTATTATGGCAACTTAAATTAAATCCCATTAACAAGAGCCCAGTTTCAGCACGGCAGAGAAGCACAGCATTTGGGGCTCAAGGCAGCAGAGCTTCGGCCAAGAAGGAGCACTGGGTTTAGGGTTTAGGGGTCATCGAAGATATGCGAAAAGCCACCGAATCCTGCACTTACAACCCTAAACCCTAAACCCTAAACCCTAAACCCCACAAAAAACAAAACAAAAAAAACCTAAATGCTTTGCGCTTGTTGGCGGTCCTGGAGCCGGCGAAGCTGGTGTCTAACTACGGAGTTGCACCCAACGGCAAAACGACGCGCCAAGCCTGCGAGGGTTTACGCAAAGCTTGCAAGGTTTTCGGCGAGGCTTCCATGTTTTCCGGCGTTTTTGCTGCTTGTTGCTTTCGAGCGGTGCTTGCAACAGGAATGTAAATACTTGTAAAACAAAACCTCAATCTTTGAACCTCTGAACATTGATCCGAAGCCTTGCAAACGTTGCTCAGAGTATAAGTACAGCTTCGCATGTCACTCAGTCTGTCCATTGAGTCTAGTAGTTGGGGCTGGTTGCTGGTGATTGGTAGCACTGTTTAGTGTTGTCCGTGCCACTCTCATCATGAATACGACTGCCATGCATAGTATGATTACACCTTCACGCGAAGTTGTCTTGTGCGCTGCCATGGGCGTGAAACTTTTCAGAGGAGCTAGACGTCCGCTAGCCACTGTCCTCACTTAAATGTCGTTTTCTGGCTGTTGTTGTGCTCGCGAGATTTGAAGCACGCATGTTCCGAATGTTTCAATAATAATTAGTATAGGGGCCTGAATAATTAGGATAAGGTTTGGGGGCCCCTTACACTATATTTATAATAAGGAGCCCCTAAAAGAATATTGTTAATAAACCCTAAACCCTGCACCCTAAACCCTACATTACTGAGCTTAAGGCTTCCGCCTTCATCCTCGAACCGGAGTTCTGAAACCCAGAATTTTACACCAGGAGAAAAACATGTCAGGTCGTCGTGGCAACTGGGGAGGAACCTCTTGGTTTAGGGTTTAGGAACCTCCTGGTTTAGGGTTTAGGGCCCCAAGCATGAAGACTGAAACCTGCGTCCATAGGCTTGAATTGCTGCTTACACCTCGACGCTGAAGCATGCCGAGCCTGGCTCTTCAAGCCCACGAATCCAGATAAGTCACATTTCGCGGAACTGGAATTCCATGTTGAAGTTCCTAAAGCCTTTCAGCATATGACGCCAAACGGTTTCGTGGGCCTCGCCTGTCCAACCTTGCAAAAACCATTGGAAATTGCTCACGTGGGTAAGTAATGCTGTTGCCAACCCCCATTAAGTTTACCGAAAGGGCTTCGAGATTCCTGCAGATTCTATATTTAGCGCTTTTGCCGGAGCTGGGGCTGGGGATGGGGCTGCAACGGGGGCTGGGGCTTATGGTTGCTGTTGTTGTCAATGGTTGAGGCGGTGGTGTAGGTCTTGGTCTTTTCCTGTTCATATGTTCTTAATAAAATGTAGAGCACATGGTTTTGGGGTGTATGGTTCTTCCAGACCAGACTTCACACGGCGCGGAAGATGCGACACGGCCAGACCGTCTCGCTTTGTGTATCTGCTTCGACTCTGACTGACTACACCCCATACTATGGGTTGCCTGTCGTTTTCCCAAGCCCAAAGAACACAACAACCAAATCTCAAAAGCCCAAGGGTCCTGAATCCATGATCACTTTGTGTCTGCGAGGAAAGCTTGATACATACTTCATACCTCGTCTAAACCCTAAGCCTTAAGCCATATAGAAAGAGACATAGACAGGGTTACAGAGAGGGGTATAGAAAGACTATACATATAGATACCGTTATAGTTATAAGTTGTGAATAGAGATCAATATTTGCTCCACATGATAAGTGCGCTCCGTGAGAACTCCACTTAGGGGATCATTGGACTAAGTTTTGTCATAAGTACCTTAGTCAGGGTTATAAGTAGATATAAGTATAGTTATCTTACTTATAACCCTACTTACTAAATCCCCTGATCCTCCAAGCAACCTCCAAAACCTCGAACTCTGGGCTCCCCGAGTTGCATCGCAGGCAGTTTGGCGATTTCTCACCGTGCCACTCAGGGCCAGCATCCCGAGAAATCTGCCGGGTTCGCCTTAGCCTTGCTTTTGTTCGTTTGTTCTAGTAACTCTAGTATTCTCCCAATGTTTCCTTGAAAATCACATTACTGCTTCCCGTCCGGGGGCGCTAAAGTCTGCAGGCTTGCTGGCCGCGTGGTGCATGATGGATTAACCCCTCATCCTTCTCAGCCGCGCTTACGACGTATAGACCCGTCAAGCTTCTCATGGCTCTGCTGACGAGGGGGAAGGTATTGTGTCTTATGCAGCCCTTCAGACATGACACATTCTTGAACATATCTTCCGAGCAAGCCATTTTCAATTGACAGGGCATCATCATCATCACGGTTTCATCACCATCATCATGACCATCGTCACGATGAACAACAACATCATCGTATTCATGTGGAGCCATGGTTACACCGTGTTTAGGCCGGACCAAACATATTCAACCGCTTTAGCCCAAGGACTTGCAAAGACTTCCACCCCGAATCCGAAACTTACCATCAATCTAAGATGAACCAGGCTATGGCAAATGAAGAAACATGTTGCCGAAGCTGATATTTAATTAATTGCGCAATATCGCTTTGTACCTGGCTCAACCTTATCCGGAATCCCGTGCCGACCCTTCCGGGAACCCCCCCGGAAGCACTATTAGCCATGGCCCAGGTGTATCCCGATTTTCTGCTGCTGGGCGAGGCGTCGAGGGTAGATGGCACACAAGCACTCAAAATCAGCATTTTTGTCGATTGTCACCGTAAGATACCGTGTTTCTTGTGGCCTGTCTATGATGTCGTACTAGCAAACTGAGCCCATGGTTGTTGGTCATGTGCTGCTGAATTCTCCCGGCAGGGGCAGGGGTGTCTTTTCCGTTTTTTCAGAGAGGTCATGGCTTGGCATTCGAAATTGGAGGTTTGGGATGAAAGAGTATTGGCTCTTTGGGTCTACACTTGGGCGTTTCAGAAAATTCGGGGCGCCAAGCTGTTATGTGTTTTGCGGATGCTTGTTTCGCCTTTCCGCACTGCGTGCTTGCGGAAATTTGCTCGAAAACCAAAGGTTATACGGTCGCACACAGCGAAACGGATACTCGCAAAAGCTGGGATGACCTACGGATCCGTGGGTCGACGCGATCGACATCATTGTAGAGTGCTTCGGGATCATCCCGAGTGTGTTCGGATGTGCCAGGGCAACATGTGCATGTACATGCATACATACATACATACAAACATATACATATAGATATGTATATGTATGTGTATATGTATATGTATGTATGTATATATGTAGATGTGTATGTACACGTGAACGTATGCGTGTATTGGCCCTATCTACAATGTCGCAGCCCTCAAAACCCCGCAACCCTAAGAGGAATCCAACTCACAAAATCCCAGAGCCGGCAGCAGCAAAGTTTTAGGGTTTAGAGCTTAGGGTCTAAACAGTGATCCTCAGCGGTCCAAAAAACCAGGACCCTGAAGTCCTCCTAGAACCCTCAAAAAATCAGCGGTTCAATATACTGCAGAGAGTTTCAAAAGATCACATTGCCAATGCTATTTCGGGGGTTCCTTATTATAGTTATAGTATAATGTACCCCAAAACCCTATTCTAATTGTTAACGCCCCTATGCATTAAGCGTGTCTCACAGTGAAGGTTAAAGGGAACACCCTTTCTTCGACAACCTATACATTTCATAAACGGACCCTACCCCTAGTCCTACGTTCTTTTGGGCACCGAAGACGCCACTAGCATGGACCATACGTTTTGGGGACCTATATACCTCTAAAACCTATTCTAAGTTTTAAGGCCCCCAGAATATATAACCGTATATATTCCAGGTTCCCTTACAGACCCTTCGGTGTTTGGTTGGGCCTGTAAGAGGTCCGAACTGGCACCACGTCAATGGCAGCCCACCTTCGCAGCATCGGCTGCATTGGTCGGGCACCCAGCATTACGGGTTTTGGTGTGTGGTGATTTCAGCTGTGATCGGTCTTTGTTGTTTTAGGGTTTCAAGTAATATAGGGACCTCAATAATTAGAATAGGGTTTTTGGGGCCCATTACACTGTAATTACAACAAGGAACCCCAAAATAGTATTGGTAATTATTTAGGCCCCTACGCTATGTTGCATGCTAAGGTTTTATGTTAGTTTCGGATCTCGGCTTCGCAGCAAGCCCAAGTGCTTGCAGCTGGATTGAACTGGAGTCACCGAAATGCCTTCTTCGTATGACCACCCCGGTAGACCGCGTAAATGGTGAATTTGGGTCTGAGTAGAAGAATCCGCTTGATATAATGTTAGTATACTATGCCCCGAAACCCTACTGTGAGCATTTGTATATATATATATATATACACATACACATACACACAAACATACATACATACATACATACATACATACATGCATGCATACATGCATACATGCATACATGCATACATGCATACATGCATGCATGCATGCATACATGCATTACATACATGCATGCATGCATGCATGCATGCATACATACATACATACATACATACATACATACACATATGTATATATATATATATACTTATATATATATGTATGCATGTAAGTTTTTACATACACACGCACATATACATACCCGCACACACAAGCACTTTTGCTTCCAGGTTTATATTTGTGTGTATATGTCTGTGTGTGATCTCCTTAAACCAGCCACGTCCGTAAATTATCTTTACCCGGCTATTACCACTATTTCTTAAATCATAGGAAGCATCCTTGTAGTTCTTAAGGAACACTGACCCCTAGTTCGTTCGAAAAGCAATTGGGCTCTCTGTCGAGTCCAGCCCCCTCACCGGTAAGTCACGGCTGTAAACCCACAGCCAGTCTGATTCATGAGGCCCATTTTCCGCGTGGATCCATCCACTGGCCACTGATAAGGAGCACGCCGCCAGTGTTCAATTCATCCCGTATGCTTGTGAGATTAGAAAGTGAGGAGCTCCTGTTTGGGGGTTGCTGCAGCTCCGTCGCTAAGGTTTTCGCTTGGTGGTCCGACTCGGGTGGACTCTAGGCCGTCATTTCCGGCTTCCGGCTCGGGTTTCAGACGTCAGGCTTAGGCGGTTTAGGGTTTCACGTACTTGGTGGTTCAGGGCTTAGGCGGTTTATGGTCTCAGGACCCACTCACCTAAACCCACGTGGCCTAAACATGCAAAAACCTGTCCTTCCAGCTCTGGTGGCTCCGACTGGCAGTCTCTTGTGACTGGTATAACTTCTTCAAGGTTCCTGTATTCAGCACAACCCCGGTGGCCACCCTGCGCCCTGAACTATTTTTTGACTTCAAATCTTTCGAAATGCAGCCTGCAAATCCTTCGCAGGAATCCTTCTACTTCGCCGGGCACTACTTCGGGTGGGCCCGAGGGCTTTGAGATTTAGGGCCTGAGGCCTAAGCTTTACCGAGAAGCAGTGCACCACAGAAATAGCGAGCAATGTGAGGCTGGGTCCCAAATCCCATAGACCCTATATCATTATTCAGGGATCATATTGTGAAATTCGAGGTGCAGTGTTTAGGGCTTAGGAGTGCGGTTCCGGTTGCAGCGTCTAGGATTGAGTTTTGAATTGTTGAGGGCCTTGAGAATGTCAGCACTTTGTTGTTTAGCAGTTGGCGTATGGATGTAAGGTTTAGAGATTTTTCGTGTTCAGGTGCCTGTAAGAAACAGAGAAAGCTTTGTGCTTTTTCAGTTGGTGTATGGAGCTGGGGTGGGGGATTTTCAAGGTTTAGGCTCTTGTTTCAGACAGACATTCCCAGTCAGCCAGGTAGAGCTCCATCTGTTGTTGAAGTGATATTCCAAACCCTGAACCCCGAACCCTAAGCCCAAAGTCTCTAAAAACCCTAGCCCTGTTCTTAAGCGGTGGAGGATTGCGGATGTTAGGGTTTGAGCTGCATGGTTCTTCCGAGCTTCCTCATCCCTGAGAGCAGGGTGGTACACCCTGGCGCTTACCGCATGTGCTTTCCACTGAAGCTCACGATGTGGCTGCGAGCCGGCTGCATTTTGCATTTCGTGGCCAGTCTAGAGTTTTGGAGCTTGGTTTATTGGGGTTGAGGCAAAGGATGTTGTCAACCAGCGTTCCATCCAATTGACAGGATTTAGTTAGTGAGTTGGATAGGGTTGGGATACATTGTCCTATGTCGTTTAGGAGCTGTAGGCAGATTCGATTACTAATTCTTCAAGCCCCCATACCACCGTTCGGGCAGGTTGCTCAGGCCGTGTACACCAAGCAAGACACCACGGAAGCACTGCGTCAAAAGCTCGGCAACAGAAGCGTTTTGTTGGTTCATGTTCGCAGCTGTTCCGAGCAAGTCGTCAACAGTCTACACCATAAAGTCCATGTAACCACATATTGTACGCAAGAAGCCTGAAGTACCCCCTAGGTGAAAACTTTGCGTAGTATATGTGGTACATGGCCCATCGGATGCTCTTCCTCTACAGCACATGGGGGATTATGGGGGTTATAAGTACCCTAATCAGGGGTCTAAGTAGATATAACTCTAGTTACCTTACTTATAATCCTACTTACTAAGTCATTTGATCCTCCAAGTAGACTTAGACCCCACGAGGTGAGCTCGCAAGAACAATGTTAGGGTTCTTAATATGAACTCTAACATATTGGGGTTATAGGGCCAGGGGTTCTTAATCAGGTTCCTACATTACTCACTAGACTTACTGGAAGCTCAGAGCTTGCGAAAGCTGCCTCGAACATGCGGCTTGTGCGACATAGCCCTAGACCCTAAACCGGGTTTGCACAATTAGTGATGGTTTAATGTTGTGTTAGTCCCTGCATCGTTAGACTACAGTTTAGGGTTTAGGGTCCCCCCGGAGCCCTATTCTAAATTTTGCGGCCCCTTTTCATCCCAAACTATCAGGGAAACTTGCCAGAGCAGGCATCCATGAAAAAGGAACGAGGCCTAACCCCCTCCCGCAACTTTGGGTCACTGGGCTGCACCAGGACCCAGGAGGCCTGTGTACGACGGCACATAGCAGTAGTAATAACAAATCATATTTCAACATATTTAGCAATAATCGTACTAATCACAAGAACAACACCAATAGTGATAATGATACTACCTCATAATAGAATATGGTGCTGTTTCAGAGTTTCGACTTCAGGGAAAAGGATCCTAGGAGCACATGCTGGCGCAAACATGCAGATGCCCCGACCCGATAAGAAAAGCAGCTGTGGCAGTTTAGGGTTTGGGGTTTAGGGTTCTGGGATGAACGATCGAAATCGTAAGGCTGCTGAGAAAGCATCGCAACGATTTTTCCCAAAGGTTCTTGTCCAATGAAGCAGGCCTCGAGACCCTAAGCCCTAAACCCCCACCACTTAGGGCACCTGTCGGGAACTTTCTTTTCACCCCGGAAGCCTTGCATCCCGAGATGGTGACCGTCACAGCATCTTATGTCGGCCAACCAAGCAAAAAGGCTCTGAAGTCGGCCAAGCATGCAAGGCATCATTAAGCTGCATTCCGCACATCTGAGAGTATTTTCAGTAATCCCAAACGGTTTGGGAATCGTTGCTTAGAATTCGCGGTCACTGTCCCGCCGTTCCCAATATGGCAGGCAAGTTGGGACGCCCTGGATGTTGTGCAGCTGCTGTTTTCGCTGGTGTCATCACACGTGAAGCTTTAGCAACTGAACCAATCCGGGGCGCTCCCGCCTGTAAAATGCCAGGCTTTTCTGTGCATGTTCATGCATAAAGAGCTCGTGCGGTCTCCGATATTGCCCAACAAGTATGGACAAGACAAGTGCGATGATTTTTGCCGGCACAAGGTTAGGAGCTTGCTTTTGCAAACTTTCGAAGTCGTGGGTTTTCACTGCATTTTGTGCTATTCCCTGGCAGAGGACTCTTGCTTCTGTGGAGTAGGAGGACCCGATTTGTAAGCACAGAGGGGTTGGGTCCAAAGTTTCTGCTTGGCATGTTCCCTCATGGTCTGCCGCTTGACTCTTCGCGGATCGACATTGTCGAACTGTAACTAGAAGCTGTGCATTTGCCTCCAATGGCCTCCTCGAGCGGTTTTGGGCATGTGGGGCCGCAGGGCTTGGACTGCTAGGTGTTTTTGTGCTGCCTGTGGCTTGCACTGGCGTGATCACTTGTCGCTTTTGGTTTGCTCAAAAAGTCCAGGTCCGAGAAATGGTACGGTGTGGCCTCGGCAAAGTTGAGGGATAAAGCTGTCTTTGTCATCGGGGAGGCAAGATCAGCACCACCAGGATTTTGTACATGTTGTGGAGTGGAATGCCGTCCCAACTTCTGTTCCATTGAAGGAACTTTCACCAATCATGCATGTTTCGGAGATTGACACCTTGTGTTTTTGCCAGGAAGGGTCCTACCTCGCGCGCACTGCAAACTCGCATGGCTTTTCTTTCAGCATAACAAAGCTGTTGGCTATTTGACCACCCAGCACTCAGCATATCCACATTCATGTTCACAAGTGTAACGACGACTCCTACTGCTACTGTTGCTATTATGGCGACTGGAATATCACTGCTACTACAACAGCATACTACTACTACTACTAATAATAATAATAATAATACCACTACTACTACTACTACTACTACTACTGCTACTACTGCTACTACTAATACTACTACTACTACTACTGCTAGGTACTACTACTACTACTACTACTACTGCTGCTACTACTACTACTACTACTGCTACTGC